TTTTAAAGAGGGAGAGTAATAGAATTTCATCCTATATAATAAAAGACAAAAAGGTTAATTAACTGTACCTCTGCTACGCTTCCCATTGGCTAATCAGGGTGATATGCAAATTAACTGCCAACAAAGATGGTGGTTAACTGCCAACAAAGATGGTGGTTAATTTGCATACATAGGCACAATGATGGGAGGCGAAAGGGGAAGGACGGAAGAAGCCGCCTGCCGCTGACGGTGATTGGAAACCCAGCCGGCAGGCAAGAGCCAGGTGGCAGGGCAAAGGCAGGGAACCCGGGCTGCCTTTGTCCTGTGTGAACTATGCAGCTGGGAGAGGGGCATGGGACCGCTGGGAACAGGGCGGGAACTCCCCGGGGTGGGCTTCAGGCAGCTGGGAGTGGGGCCAGAACTTCTGCCGCGTTGCCATGGCAACACGGCAGAAGTTCCCACCCGTAGCTGCTTGCTCATTCACTTACTTGCAAATTCATTCACTCATTCACTCACTCATTATTCACTCACTCACTCAGCAAACCCTCTCAGGTCCCTGGCACCAGGCCAGGCACTGAAGTTGAAGCAGGATAAGACAGAGCTATGTCCTCAAGATGTTAGTAATTCAGTAGGGTGAAGCAGGCACATGAACGAGGCAGTTGTATGCACAGATGCAGTGTACTGGGTTTGGTGAGGGCTGTAACTAACACTGACTTTGTTCTCTTGATAAAATGGGGCCTCGGGAGCCAGGCCGCCCAAGCCTGTAGGCCTGTGCCTAGGCCAGGAGTGGCCGGGATCCCGGAACATGACAGAGGGTGCAGGTCGGGTTGAGGGGGCTGGCCCCACCCCTCACCCTCACCCCCGAGTGCACAAATTTTTATGCACCGGGCTACTAGTTAAATATAAAACTGAATAGTCTAATCAACTTTTCAGCTTATCCTTTTCTCTCTTTGGATCCTGTTTTTAAATTCTATCCTTCTTCCCTTTTACCAGCTCCCTGCATTTACTTCTTAGATACATCAGTTACAACCTGGGGTGAGAGATATTTTGAGGCAATGAGAGATCACATTTTTAATGCAATTCTAGTCTAGGAAATGTATTTTCCATTTAAAAATATTTTTTTAAATTAATACCAGGCACAGTAATTTTATATAAATTGCTGATTTCCTAATATCTTTGCATTTCTTATTCAGTTTTGTTATCTTTTAACTCACTTTCCTGCTTTTATTTCCTTATGCTGTTCTCCTAAACATAAAGTAACTAATGGTGAGGCTTTCACTCATTCTTTTTTTTCTTCCCATCTTTGCTAGTATATAATTGACAAAAACTGTATATATTTAAGGTGTAAGACTTGATTTCCCCTTCCTCCAGGCTTATTGATATAACTGACATATAACAGTGTATAAGTTTAAGGTGCAAAAATATAATGATATACAGGGTGTCCCAAAAAATGTATACATACTTTAACAGCTGATAGCTCAATTTTGAAAATGAAATATATTTTAATAAACACTGCCTTTGTAATTATTCAAAGTGCATGTATACATTTTTGGGACACCCTATATGTGCATATTGTGAAATGATTATCACAAGTTTAGTTAGCATTCATCACCTTACAAATTTTCTTTTTTTCCCTTGTAATGAGATTTTTTAAGGTCTACTTTCTTAGCAACCAACTTGAAGTTTTTGATGTATGTTTTTGTTTGTTTTGTGAACAGCTTGTTTGACATTTGTATTAGTTTATCTGTAAATTAAAATTTTTTGTCATTAGTTTTCTGTTAAGTTCTACCTTTATATCTAAACTATGTTGAAAGTACATATACTTATTAATTTTCTTAATATCATTGCATCATTTTGCTAAACATGGTGTAATTTTGATAGTTCACCCTTATTCTTTCATTTTTCTGGAGGCCTTTTATATTTCCATTCTTGAATCTTAGAGGATTAACATTTGTTTTCAACTGGCCTGTTTTTGGTGGCCATTAGATGGTTCACACAGTTCTCACAGTTGGAATTCCTATTCCATGACTTAACTGGCCTTCACTGACATAACGGGAATGTTTTCACTGCGAGTTGGACATTATAGAGGTGATACAGAGAGGTGTCTATGAGTTCATCTCTTTTGAGTCCTTGGTTCAGTGGGATATGCATTCAGATATGGAGTCACCTGAGCTGGACTATTGTTTTTTGTAGTTGATTTTGTCAGGGTCCCTGCTTCTTAGCAGCAATCTGAGAGAAGCTGAATTTCTCAGAGCCTTCTGAAACCTGCTAGCTAGCTGGCAGGTGAACCAAAGAGAGCTATGGAAAAGCGACTTACGGGTCAGGAAAACCTGAATATCTTTAACTATATGAAAAGCCTTCTTGTCACATTTCCCCCTGGTAATAGCATAATATATAGGAAAGATAAGTCAACTAAGGCTGGTAAAATCTCTAAATGTGAATGTTCCAGAGTCGTGGAAGTAGTTTACAATATAAAAATGCCATGTTCCATAGTTTTATCCTGCCCTCTTATTTGCAGTGCAGTCTTGCTAAATCGATGTGGTTCATTTGTGACCTCTAAAATTACTAGTAACTTAGGCTTTCCCTGTGGCTGGGCTGTGAGCATGTGGTGGGGATCCACACAGTGGTTTGAATTGTGCTAGAAGCTGTGGAGCTGCTGTCTGCAGCCTATAGTTACTTAGAACGAGCCATCTATGAAACATTTTATACGTTGGGCAGGGACTAAAGTATGGGCTCTCTTGCCAAACCTCTCTATAGGATTCTAGCATATTAGATTGGTTTGAAAAGGTTCCTTGGAAGACATCTGGTGAGTCCAAAATAATTTTACACTCTAAATTATAGACTCATAAAATAATCTACTCCAACCACTCAGCTGATTCCTAAGAAGCTCTTCCACAACACATCCACCAAAGATCATGCAGTCTCTTATTGAGAGAGGAAGAGAGAGAGAGAGATAGAAACACTGATGAGAGGCATCGACCAGCTGCCTCCTGCATGCCCCCTACTAGGGATCGAGCAGCAACCCGGGCATGTGCGATGACTGTGAATTGAACCCGGGACCTCTTGGTTCATAGGTCTATACTCAAACACTGAGCCACACCGGCTGAGCTGATCACGCAGCCTTAATCTCTTCCAGTCTTCAACACTTCCCTTACGTTGAGACAAAAAGCTGTTACCTTGAACCTTTCATTCATTGGTGTTATTTCCTTGGAGCCATACAAAATACCCTAATCCATGATGGACATTCATATATTTGAAAATAATTCTTATTGTCTCCTTGTATGTTTTTCTCCCCCAGGTGAAACTGTGGAACTGCCTACTCTCTTGAAATGATTTGGGTCCCCTTACTATCATCATCTGTCATCTGAAGGTACTTTCATTTATCCATATCCCATGACAAAAATGAGTATAATATTCAGAGTAAGGACTAACCAGCACAGAGTGAATAGTATAAAAATAAAATTTCTGAAAACCTCCTCGCTACCTGTCTTTGGAAAGTGCTCTTTACAAGTTCGTCAGCTATCTACAAATAGCCCCTGCAATGGTGACTTTCAGTCCTTAGTCTCCTCGAAGTCTCGGCTATCCTATAATCATCCTTTCTTTTTGCAACTCATTCATTGTGCAGGTTTTCCCTCTATCTTCCTGACTTAGTAAGTTTTCTCCTTCAGCCTACTACATATCACAGGTGTAGTTCTTGCACCTGCTCTAGCTCTACCTCTGCTATAGCTCTGTACTTGCTCCTTTGGGAGCTCCTACTCTTAGGCCTTCAATTGTTACCTCTTTTGGACTGACTCCAGATCTCTCTTGAATAATAAATATTATTGTTTGCCCCTTCAAACTCAATTTGTTGTTCCCTCCCTGTCCTAAAACTAGCTCCTAGTTTGTTATTGGTTTTCTGTCACCCAGTTTCAAAAGTTATGGAGTCATAAATTTTTCCCCCTTACTCATATGTAGTCAGTCATCATGAAGTAGTGATTCTTCATTGAAAAAATATCTCACATCTCATCCTTCTGTTTATTCTCTTTCCACCACTTATTCTTCCAAGCACCTCTTAACTAGATTTACTGCCTATGATGTTTTTCCTTTTCACTCTATTTTGCACAGTCACAAAATTATCATTTTAGTAATGCAACCTTATTCATTTGACTTTTCTTCACAAATACCTCAGAAAGCTTCCATTTTCCTGATGAGTATAATACAATTCCAAGCTTGTGTTGCAAATCCTTTCAGAATTTTCTTTTAACCCCCCTTTTCAAGATTGTACCCCAGAATACTTCCCATAAACCTGCTGCAACAATTCAGTTCCTTCTTCCCCTGGAGCATGGCACAGCAGTCTTTACCCCTTTGCCTTTTTTTTTTTTTTTTGCTCTTTCTACACCATCAGCTTAGCAACATCTTATCCATCTTTTGAGACATGTCACACACCATCTTTCCCTTCCCCACGAAGATAATCTCTTTGCCTTCTTATACCAAGAAGTTGATAACTTTTATTATATTGTCCATCTAAACTACATTCTGACCCTAGTCTATTTTTTAAAAATTGTCATATTATGTCCCTATATATGTTACAAGCAATTTAATTGCAGGGACTCTGACCTTGTTTCCGTATATCCCATATTACTAGAACAGTGCCTTGCAAGCATTAGGCCCACCATGAAAATTTGTTGGTTGGTTGGTTAAGCTATCACAAATATAATATTTGTCAAAAAACATTATACATGTTTTTAATAAAAATGTTTTATTTCAGAAAGTATCCAGGCTTTCTTGACTAAGTAATATAAGTATCAACTTATAAAAAGGTTGGAAACAGGTTTGTGGCTGAGAGGTCTAAAAATGGTGAAACTTCTAAAGAGTAGAAACTTCAGATACATGGATCATAAGCATTCTATAGTTATAATCCATTCAAGCAATGGCTGGGGTATGACTCGGATCTGGGCGATAGGATCCAAAATAATCAGTTGTCTTACGGGCTTTCCTTTCATTTATCTTCACTCTTCCTCCTTTCATTGTACTTCCTTCATTTAATTGCCCGTCTCCTTTTTTGCTTCTGCTTTTTTACGCTTGACTTGTGGTTCTTTCTTTCCCTTCACTTGGTCCTTTCCTTCACCACTTTTCTTGTCTTTGGCATCAGTTTCTTTCGTATCTTTAGTCTTTCCTGCATCTTCCTTTTCTTTGGCCTGGTTTCCTTTAGCTTCAGAACTCCCAGTGTTTTCTGGAGGTTTCTGTCCTTGTGGTGTCCCAGCCTTACTCTTCGTTACTTTCGCTTTTGGTCCTTTTGGTGTTTTGGCCTCACTCTCCTTCACTTGAGATTCTGGTCCTTGTGGTATTTCCACCTCACTCTCCTTTTCTTGAGATGCTGGTCCTTGTGGTATCCCGGCCTCACTCGCCTTTACTTGGGCTTCCTCTCTTGTCGGCATCCCCAGGTCGCTCCCCTTTACCTTGGCCTCCACGTCTATCTTCCCTGTGTCCAAATCAGTGTCTTTTGCTTTTCTTTCCTTCTCTGTTTTGTGCGCCAAGGACTGATCAGAACCTGTGAAGGAGATTTCCTTCTTTAGTGCTTCCTTGTTTTTGTCTTCGCTACTCTTAGACTTTGCAGTGCCTCCACTTTTTAGAATCGAGACTCTGGGATCTGATTTTTTTGCAAGTTCTCCATCCATGTAACCTGGAAATATAACTGAGCACACAACAAAAGTGCACAATTCAGATAAGTACTTTCTCTCTATTCCTACTTTCCCCCCCTGATATTGGTTTCTTTTCTTTCTTTCTTTTTTGTGTGTGTTTTAAAACTGACAGACTGGAGATAACTTGAGTTTTTCCTGAAAATATAAAATGGTGGAATGCTACATGTGAAATTATATTAAGTGTTGATAACATTCCAGACTCTTTCGATAAATTGGAAGATTAATGAAAGATAAAGTAAAATGTAGTATAAGCGAGCTGACATTTGTTCAGTATGTTCTACCAAATGAATAATGCTGATAATAGCTAAAGAAGGATGTATTCGGAAAAGAAATATAATTTAAATTTAGAAACAATTGTGGAAAGAAACAATATTGTTTCTTAAAATAGAAAAAGGAAGTTCAAAATATACTTTCCATATTAAATAAAAGCACATTTCATTGTGCAAAAGTAATAATAGTGCTAGTTGATATTAATTAAGTGCTCACCACATACCAGGCACTCACTGTTCTGAGCACTTTATACACATTAACTTATGTAATCCTCACAATGACCATTTAGGGTAAGTACTATCACTACCTCCATTTTACAGATAAAGAAACTGAGGCACAGAAAGTTTAAATAAATGTGAATATGGTCATGAAATTAGCAGGTGGTGGAGCTAGGATTTGAACTGAGCAGTTAGACTCCAGAGTTCAGTTTTAATCACTACTACTAGACTGTTTCTTGCAATATCGGCTAACTCACTTTGCAAAAATTTCAGGGACCTTTTATTATGTTTAGGCAAAGCAGCTCTGCTATGTCTTATTTATGTGTTACCTAAAAAGATTGAATTTGTTAGCTAGCTTTTAAAATTTTATTATTATTATTTTTTTTTAGCAACTTGACTGTCTGAATTAAGAAAAACAAAATCGGTGCTATCAAGGAGAATTGTGTGGATTCATGCCATGGAGCAGAGGTGTGTCTTGCTTTGAACAAAGCTAACATTTAATATTAATATAGTAGAAAGAATACTGAATTTAAAAGCCGAATCAGAACACCTGGGTTTAGTATTCCTGCCAGCAGGGTTTATTTAGGTAAGTCAGTTAACCCCCAAAGACTCACACCTCATATTTAGTTTGTTTGCTCTGCCCACTTTGTAGAGTTAAGTTTTCTAGACAGATAGTTTAAGGAGGATGGCTTTTAGAGTCAGACTAGTTCAAATCTTGGCTCCATACCTAACTAGCTGGGTGACCTTTTGCAAACTTTACTTTTTTATCTGTAAAATGGGAGCAATAGTAGTAACTTCTTCACAAAAGTGTTGTGAGGATTAAATAATATCATCTAAGTAAAGCACTCAGTACAGCGCATGGGACATAGTAAGTAGTCAGTAAGTATTGGCTATTACTACAACCAAATGAGACAGACCAGGCAAAAACTTTCTCAAAACTATTAAGACGAGTTATTCTTAGTTCCAACCAAATAATTTAGAGGAATAATATATACATGACAGGAAGACTTCTTGCATAATAACTAATTATTTGACTTTTTCAATATTAAAAGCTTTTTGGTACATTTAGAGTTTGTTGTTTGAAAAATTGACATATATAGCACTGTATTTTATCAGTACTAAAAAGTGAGACACACCTGTATTAGGGAGAGAGGTAACTATGGATCAAAATGGATGTCGTAGTGCAGTGTTTCCTGTTTGACATTTTAAACTTTTGACACCAAAATAAAAATTATATTTGAAACTCTGCATTAATGCTTTCTGAACTTTTTATTTTTTATTTTTTTGGTGTATTTTCCTCACTATCTTGTTCATTAAGATATAGAAACTAGATATTTTATTTTAGACAAACGCATTTCCAATTTTCCAATGAAAGCCAGTGGTACTATATCCCTAGTCCTTCTGTACTGAGAAAAACAGCCCAGGATATCTTGCTATCTGTCAGTATCACCAGTGGACAGCTTCTGTTTGGGGTGTGGTGTGGAGTGAAGAGAGTGTATTTTTCCACCAAAGCGTCTAACTTTATGAATTCAATGGAATGTACTTCGAAACAAACAGACTTTTCTTAGTTTATGAATAATTTTTAGTTTTACCATCTCTTGGAGGTAACTTATTCCTTGTTTACTGTCATTTATACTACTGCATTACCCATTTTTAACCTAAATTTACCTCCTAAATAATATAGATTCTGTCAATCAAAATGAAGTATTCTAGTATTTAAGGAAACAATCAGTGTCTATTTTAGCTACAATTTTGTAGAATTTATAAAATGTTTATTATTTTTCCCATTACAAAATACCTCCAGTCACTTCTCATAGGATCTTCATACCCTTGAATGTTTTAATATTTTTGCCAAATATTTTTGATCTCAAACTAAATGTAAGAAATTAGTTTTGCTGGGGATGTATTTTTTAGGAATCTAGTTATCCCATAAAGTGAGGTTCCCTTTATTTCAACTTTGTATTACAGAAGGAAGGCACAAATCATCATTCCACCAAACCCTAAATTCCTCTTTCCCTTCTTCCAGATTTCTAGATGGTGCATCAGTCTTTCCTCCCCCTTGCTCCCCACAAGTTCCATAATACAAATCTTTGTAAATCCTGGCTAAGTGTCCATTCATTGCAGGTGGTAGCTTATACAACAAAATTCTAATAAAATTAAAAGATTTAATCAAGACCTTGACAATCATTGTAATGTATTCAGGCTGATTAAAAAGTTTAAATTGAAAAAAATATTTTAATTGGATAAGTTTTGTCAAAGCAGAAAGGTATCAAGAAATAACTATCACATTTAATCATCCTAATTGTTATGATTCTTAAATAATGTAGAACATAGACCAGGGGCTTTCTTAGGAGACTAACATGACTTGGTTCTTAACCCAGTGCCCGCCAGTGAGAGCACAGTCAGACCTGGGCTGGAGAAGATTTGAGAGATGAAGCGTCCTGGTTCTCAGGCCACGAACCAGCATTTAAAAGGTCACACACTTATCAGCTGACTGTAGAGGAGAGAAAATAAGGGCCTCAACCTGAGAGGTGATCGAGTCCGATGGGCTGATGTGTCATAAATCTTTCTTTGAATAAAGGAATCCAACCTTAACCTCTTTTATTAAAAATACTAACAGGGAAGAACATGTTTGAAATATTGTCAATCACAATATATCTTTTAAAGTAAAGAAATGAAAAAGTTAACCAGATTGTATTTCTGGCAATTGAAAAACATTTACCAAGAACGAATTCATTTCTAGGAAGGGACTTGGCCTGTGAGCCTTTCTCGTCGCCCCTTCCTCTTTAAGGGACATGCTTGGTCTTATCACCGTCCCCAGGTGGGGAGGGCACTTGGGGAGCAGGCCCCTCATGACTGCTCGGAATGCCCTCTCTCCCAACTTCACGGCCTCTCCCCCAACCACAAGCCAACCCTCGTTCCGGTGGGAACTGAGGAAGAAGAGTGAGGTTTAAATAGGAGCATCTTTTGTGTTTGCCAGCGGTTAGAATGTTTGAGATGCTTGAGTGTATCTCACTACATCTCAGTCTTACTTGCTTCTTAGTATATGTTTACAGAGTTTTAAAAATTGCCTTTCTCTTTCATTTTATATGATGGATTTCCTTGAAGAGCTGAGCCTACATGAAATAATCCGGACATAGAGAAATTTGAATTTAGAAAACAGTTAAAAGCCACGCATCAATTTAAATGGATGCCTTTTATTTTTAACCTTTTGAGTGCATTTAATGTACAGCTTCTCTAGTAGATGCATATTTGTATTTACAAATATTTGCTTTATAGATAAGGCTTCCGGAGTAATCACAACAAAGGCATTTGTGGTTCAGTGTAAGATGCAGTGCGTAGAGGTAGAAGGTGTGTTCACTTTGGGACAGGAAGCCCTGTGTTTGCATCCTGCTTTTTACCAACTCTTTAACCTTGTAAATGTCTGAGCCAGTTTCCTGATCTGTAAAGCAGGGGGTAATAATAGCTACCAAGCAGGGCTATGGTAAGAATAAGAGATACTTACGGGGTTTGAAAATGCCTAGCACAGTGCCTAGTATATAGTAGGTGTTCAATACCTACTACCCCTCAAAGTAAGTTATTTAGAGGCAATAGAAAATAGATAAGATTTTGTTCTGAACCATTTTTTTCTATTCATATGATACAGTAGGCCTTTACTTACAACTGAAAAAGAGTTTTGAATTAGCAGTGAGGAACTAATGGGATTCAGAACCAATCTTTCTTTTATCGTGTTTTGCTGGGAGTCAGTGAGGAGACTCAGAGTCAGGAAGATGGCCAGAGATCATGCCACTCTTTTGTATGAACTTCATCTCCTCTACAGCAATCTCTCCAAAAATAGTTATCGAAAGTATTGCTTCATTTTGGAGAATGGGGACATTTAAAATGGCCTTAGAAGCACAAGTATGTATTTTGGGAGTAGAAACAGCCAGGCCAGAAAATAACTATAAACAATGTACAATATCATTTAAGAATAGATAAGGAACTTACCCATAGGAGATAATGCTAAAAATAAAACACAAAAGAAAGATTAGTGGGAATTTTCTAACTCAAGGAGAACCCAGTTCTAATGATGCCCTCTGTGGGTAAATGTTCTGCAGGACCAGCGGGGGATGTGGAATCCCCCAGTGATTTCAGCCCCAGGACTGCTGCTGGCCCACGCTCTACATCCTCCTCCACAGCAACTCTAGGGTGTCATTTAGTTAGTGTGTGGGATTGAATCCTTGATAAGCAATATCCGCTTTACTAATTTCATACCTTCCCATTGTAATTTCCTACTTTCATTGTTTTCACAAGTCAGTTTTTTCCCCCCCATTCTTCTTCAGGTCAGTTTGAAAATGTGTGTTGTTGGTCAATTGTCAAAATTGTGTCTTGTCCTGACACCTATTCTTTTTTACATGCATAGCTAATCTATATCTTTTATTAATCTTTATTGTTGAAAGTATTACAAATGCCTTTCCCTTCCCCATTGACTCCTTCTAGACTGCACCTGTTGTACCCCCTCCTCCAGGCCTTTACCACCCTATTGTCTGTGTCCATATATGCATACAAGTTCTTTGGTTAATATCTCCCACCCCGCCCCCCACCTTCCCTCTGAGATTTGACAGTCTGTTCTATGCTTCTATTTTGTTCATCAGTTTTTGTTCATTGGATTCCACATATAAGTGAGATCACATGATACTTCTCTTTCTCTGACTGGCTTATTTCACTTAACTTACTCTCCAGGTTCCTCCATGCTGTCTAAAAGGGTAAGAGATCCTACTTTTTTACTGCTGCATAATATTCCATTGTGTAAATGTACCACTAGGAATATGTCCTAAGAAACCTGAAGAACCAATCAGAAAGAATGTATGCTCCCCTATGTTCATAGCAGCACAATTTACAATAGCTCTGGAAATAGCCCATGTGCCCATCAGTAGATGACTGACACCTATTCTTTACATCAGTTTTAGAGGATTTTCTTTTTTAGTAAAAATTATTCATTGCCAGATTATAGCACAAGGAAAACAGGCTATCTTGTGGGTAGACTTGAGGGGAATATGTGCCAACAATCTTTGGCAGTAAATAGCCCAAATAAAATATAAGACCATTCTATTTTGTTATAAAATAAACATAGATAAGAGAGAATCAAAGTATGAGAATATAATTTAAGAAATAATGACTAAGTTAGAAGAATGTGGAATACAAAAAAATTTGGAAACAAAATCTCAAGGGTCCTGGATACAGTAATAGGTAAGGAAATGATCCAAACTTACTGATTTTTCCAGAATCGTCAACTGAAAGAGATAAAGACAAACACATCAGTAGATACTGGAATTTCCTATATTTTCCATCCCATAAGTCTCTGCACTGGGTAGAATCTGTGTCATGCATTTAAGTTCCATTTATTTAAATGTGGGAAACTTCCACTGCTCTTGTCCTGTTGTAGTTTAAAAAGAATTTGTAATTAGCTGCTTTATTTAAACACTTTTTATTGAAATATATTTGCACATTTAAGGTGAACAGCACATTAACTTGACACATTTACATATAGTAATATGATTGCCAGTGTAGGGATCATCTATACTAATAAAAGGGTAATATGCTAATTAGACCAATTGACCGGATATCTTCTGGACATCCGACTTCCTTCTGGACAGTTAGGAGGCAACCAGGCCAGCAGGGGAGCAGTTAGGGGGCAATTAGACCAGCAAGCAGAGACGGTTAGGGGCAATCAAGCAGGCAGGTAGAGTGGTTAGGGGCAATCAGGAAGGCAGGCAGGTGAGAGGTTAGGAGCCAGCGGTCCAGGATTGCAAGAAGGATGATCCCTGCAGGATCAGGCCTAAACCGGCAGTTGGATATCCCCCTAGGCGTCCTGGATTGGAGAGGGTGCAGGCCGGGCTGAGGGCCCCCACCCCATGCACCAATTTTGTGCACCGGGCCTCTAGTCTATATAATAAAAGCCTAAGGGACTGTTACAGTGGAACGACCAGAACGACTGGTTGCTATGATTCACATTGACAACCACGGGCTGATGCTCAGTGCGCTCCCACAGGGGGAGCAGCCGCTCAGCCAGAAGCCAGGCTCATGGCTAGTGAGCACAGCGATGGTGGTGGGAGCCTCTCCCACCTCTGCGGCAGCGCTAAGGAGCAATGAGCTTAGCAGTAGAGTCTGCTGGTAAGGAGCCTGCCGCTAAGAAGCAGCGAACCGAGCAGTAAGGAGCCAGCAGGTGGACATCCCTTGAGGAGTCCCGGCCTGCGAGGGGGCACAGGTTGGCTGAGGGACCTCCCCGGGAGCCTGCCGCTAAGAAGCAGCGAACCGAGCAGTAAGCAGCCAGCAGGTGGACATCCCTCGAGGAGTCCCGGCCTGCGAGGGGGCACAGGCTGGCTGAGGGACCTCCCCCCCAGTGCATGAATTTCATGCTAGGCCTCTAGAGTTACATAATGATCCTTTCTTTTTTGTGGTTGGAGTTATATGTTTTAGTCTCTTAGCAAGTTTGATGATTATAATACAATATTATTGTCTACATTTACTATACTGTGTATTAAACTTCTAGGTCAGTGTTTCTCAACCTTCCTAATGCCACGACCCTTTAATACAGTTCCTCATGTTGTGGTGACCCTCAACCATAAAATTATTTTCGTTGCTACTTCATAACTGTAATTTTGCTACTGTTATGAATCGTCATGTAAATATCTGATATGCAGGATGTATTTTCATTGTTACAAATTGAACATAATTAAAGCATAGTGATTAATCACAAAACAATATGTAATTATATATGTGTGTTCTGATGGTCTTAGGTGACCCCTGTGAAAGGGTCGCTCGACCCCCAAAGGGGTCGCGACCCACAGGTTGAGAACCGCTATTCTAGGCCTTATTTATGACTCATTGCAAGACTGTACTTTTGAACATCTGTCCTATCTCACATCCCTTAACCTCTGGAATTTTCTGTTTTTATAAGTTTGACTTTATTAGATTCCACATGCAAATGATACCATACAGTACTTGTCTTCCTCTGTCTTGTTCATCTATATATATAAAAGCCTAAGTAACTGGCTAAATGTTCAACTGTTTGACTGTTTGACCATTTGACTGGTAGCCACGATGCACACTGACCACCAGGGAGCACTCAACGAATAGGCATGGAAACATGGAACAGACTGATGAATCTCAGAGGGAAGTGGGGAGGGGAGAGGGCGGGAAGAGATTAAACAAAGATCTTATATGCATACTAGAGGCCTGGTGCACAGATTTGTGCATGTGTGTGGTCCCTCCATCTGGCCTGCGGGGATGGGGCCGAAACTGGCAGTCTGACATCCCCGGAGGGGTCCCAGATTGTGAGAGGGTGCAGGCCAGGCTGAGGGACCCCACTGGTGCACGAATCCATGCACCGGGCCTCTAGTTTACCATAATATGCTCAAGGTTCATTTATGTTGTTGCAAATTGCAGATGTCCTACTTTCACATGGCTGAATAATATTCCACTGTGTATATAGGGCACATCTAATTGATCCATTCATCAGTTGATACAGACAGTTAGGTTGTCTCCATGTTTTGGCTATTATGAATAATGCTATAATAAGCAAAGGAGTGCATACATCTCTTTAATACCTCATTTTCATTTCCTTGTTTAAAAAATTTAACTTTATTTTTGAAAGCTTTACAGATGTTCTCCCCTTTCCCCACTCCAATGACCTCCTTCCTCCCAACTCCTGGCCCCTCCCCAAGGCCTTTCTTTGGTGTACACTGGAAATTGCTGTACCATTTGGAGAACCTATTTTCTGTTTGTGGGTTTTTTTTGTAGTTTTATAACTTTGTTCAACAATCAGCATTAACTATAGATTTTTGAAAGTGGTAGCCAACATATAGACCTTGTTTAGTGAATCTTCATCCTCATTACATGTTCTGGACTACCACTCCCAGATACATAAGGGACATTCCTTATTCCTTTGGCTGAGAAAGCCTTGTTAGCTTGGTGTCAGTGCACACATCTGGAGTTCCCCCTCTCCTTCATGGCAAATTTCCAGATCTCTCTGAGTTCCTGAGGGGCATGCTTCTTGAAACCCACTCCATAGATGAGCTTGTGAATGTTGATAGTGTGTTCTCTGGTCATTACCTTATTGATGCCGAAAAGCGCTTTTTCTCATCACCCTTCTTGGTGGGAGCCATTTTGTTGGGTCCAGGTTGTAAAGATTCTGGTAGTTCTATTTTTAATTATTGAGGAAACTCAATATTGTTTTCCTTAGTGGCTGAACCAATTTACATTTCCACCAACAATGTATGAGTTCCCTTTTCTGCACATCTCTTCAACACTTATCTCTGTGTTCTTGACAGTAGCCATTCTAACCCATGTGAGGTGTTAATTCATTGTGGTTGGCTTTGCATTTCCCTGATGATTAGTGATGTTGAAATCTTTTCATGTACATGTTGTCCACTCGGATATCTTGGGCAAAATTTTTCTTCAGTTCCTCTTCCCATTTTTAAATTGGATTGTTTTTTGATATTGAGTTGTATGAGTATTCTATTCTGCTCTATTCTATTCTGCTCTATTCTATTCTATTCTATTCTATTCTATTCTATTCTATTCTATTCTATTCTATTCCTGTTCTGTTCTATTAATTTTTTCTATCACCATTTTCCCCCTCTATTCCCTCATCCACCTCCCTCGCCCCTTCTGTCTCCCTACAATTACCATACTTTTGTTCATGTCCATGAGTTCTCTCTTTTTTGCTCAACCCCTCCACCCTCAACCCCCACACCACCACCCTTCCACCAGAGGTGTCTGTTTATTCTTTATCTATGACTCTGTCTCTATTTTTTTTGGTAGTTCAACTTGTTCATTAAATTCCACATATGAGTAAAGTCAATATTAACCCCTTATCTGAAATTAGTTTGTAAAAATTTTTTCCTATTCTGAAGGTTGCCTTTCATTTTGTTGTTTCTTTTGTTGTGCAGAAGCTCTTAAGTTTGATGTTGTCCCACTTATCTGTGTTTGCTTTTATTGTTTGTGCTTTTGATGTCATATCCAGAAAATCAATGCCAAGATCTACATTTCTTCTAGAAGTTTTTTGGTATCAGGTTTTATTTGAAAATCTTTGATCTATTTTGAATTAACTTTTGTGAGTGGTTTAAGATAGGGGTTCAACTTTATTGTTCTGAATGTATTTATCCAGTTTCTCCAGCACCTCTTGTTGAAGAGACTGTCCTTTTCCCTGTGGGTGGTTTTGCCCCCTTCTCCAATATTTGTTGACCATATATGTGGATGGTTAATTCTGGGCTCTCTCTTCTGTTCCAATGTTCTGTGTGCTTGTTTTTAATGCCAGCACCATGCTGTTTTGATAACTATGGCCTTGTAGTATAGTTTGCTATTAGGTAGCTTGATTGTTCCAACTTTTTTCTTCCTTCTCAAGATGGCTGTTGCTATTTGGGGTCTTTTGTGGTTCCATAAACATTTTTAGAATATTTGTTCTAGTTCTGTGAAATACGTCATTGGTATCTTGATAAGAATAGCATTGAATCTGTAGATTGCTTTGGATAGTACAGACATTTTAACAACATTAATTCTTCCTTTCAATGAACATGGTATATGCTTCCACTTATTTGTATCTTATTCAATTTCCTCCTTCAGTGTCTTAAAATTTTCTGAATACAGGTCTTTTACATCCTTGGTTTAATTTATTCCTATGTATTATATTCTTTCTGAGGTAGTTGTGAATGGGATTGTTTTCTTAGAGTTTCCCTATAACTCTTTGATAGCTTCCCTTCACCTTATTTTTCATTCTGCTCCAGCCTCACTTGCTTTCCCTCAAAGAGTCTGAAAATATTTCTACGCCAGAGTGGTTTACTTATTGTCCTCTTTGCTTGAAATATTCTCCCCTCAGATATCTGCATGGCTAATTAATTCACCTCTTTCATGATTTATCAATTGCTGAGAATAGGATGTTGAGTTCACCAGCTATAATTTTGAGTTTTTCTGTTTCTCTTTTCAGCTTTATCAGTTTTCTCTCCAATGAATTTTGAAACCCTGTTGTTTGGGACATACTGGTACACATTTGGGATTTCTGTGACTTCTTGGCGTATTGATTGTTCTTTGAATAATTATGTAATGTCCCTGGTAAATTTTTGCTCTGAGGTGTATTTTATGTGATATTAATATGATTGACAGGCCAGCAGAGGACATTTGGGTGATTTCTGAGACTCTGTCATAGTTGACGGCTTTAAATCCTGCCTTTCACATTCCCTCTGAAAGACAAGTGAGGAAATGCTCCGTCCTCTTCCTGTGGGGGAAGCTCCTGACAGCCCCAGCCTGGCTAGCTGCTGGAATTGCATTGTGCCTCGCATTCCCCTAAATTCGTTTGAATTTTCAGCAAATAATTTGTCAGCCTGAGCCCT